AAATTATTTTCTATCTCCTCTCCAAGTTATGTTTGGAAACCTACTCAAAATAATGGGGCATCTGGGTGGCTCGGTCAGTTAAGCATCTGACTTCGGCTCAGATCATGATCTCGAAGATCATGAGTTTGATCCAACAGCACAGAGCCCACTTTAGACCCTCCGTCTCCCTCTCTCTGCCCCTCCTGCTCATTCTGTATCTCTCTCTCAAAAATAAATAAGCATTTAAAAATAAATGAAGAAATAGGTAAATTAAAAAAAAAAGCCTACTTAAAATAAATGAATGAATGAATAAAATCTACTTAGCTTCAACCTAAGCAATGTTGGAAGAACTGTTCCTTTTTAATGTTTATTTATTTTTGAGAGACAGAGAGAGAAAGAGAGAGCAAGCAGGGGAGGGGCAGAGAGAGAGAGGGAGACACAGAATCCAAAGCAGGATCCAGGCTCTGAGCTGTCAGCACAGAGCCCGACATGGGGCTTGAACTCACAAACTGTGAGATCATGACCTGAGCCAAAGTCGGATGTTTAACCAACTGAGCCACTCAGGTGCCCCAGAACTGTTCCTTTTTAATGCAGCTATTTGTTGACATGTCATTTTTATATCAAATATTATGAGTGTTTTGGGGGGGATGGGAGGGGGAGTAGGCAATTTGATCATTAGAGACTATTCCCTTTGGCCCTATTAATTTTTACAGCATTCCTCCCCCTCCTATTTACCTAAATTTGTGATTTCTTGTAAATTTTATAAAATATCTTGTGTTATCCCCAGAGCCTGAACTCCACATCAGCCAAAGGCCAACTCAGTGTATGCTCCTCCTGGAAGAATTGTGCTTTGGAAGAATTACTCAGATGGCTCCCCAAAACATAACAATTCTTATTACTATTGTTGTTCCTATGACATCTGCAGAGTACTTTGCAAAGTGCTGTTTTACAAAGAGCTTTTTGCACCTGCTACCTCTTTCATAGCCACTGTAACAACTGTCTTATAGTTATGGTCCCATTGTCCAGATTATTATAAAATGAAGCACAGAATGCATTCAATAGAGTGTTAGGTAATGAAACACAGAATGCACTCTACAGACTGTTATACAATGTAGCATAGAATATTCTAGTGCATTGCCCTAGGTCACAGACCTGCCAATTTACAGACCTGGAATTCCAAAGACTTTTGCTTCATCCCGGCTTTCCGTTCATGCCTGTGTCTTAAGCCCAGGGCCCTCACACCCAACATTTTCCCTTTCACTCCTTTCTCTAGAATACCGGCCCTCTTACCCTGAGAAAGGTTTGTTTTATTTTATATCCCAAACCACTGACAAAATAGAGCACTACCCACATTTCACTTAAGCTCAAAATGTTTTGTTTTTTTCAACCACATACTTCCTGATCGAATCTCTCCTTTGTTAGTGACAGAAAAATGGACTAAATGACAGACATCAAGATATCTTCAGTAGAAAAGCTTTGGTTGTTTTGCTTCTTTTTATCTCAAGGAAACATCTGGGAAATTACCAAAAGTGAAAACATATCTGAGATGGTCAGTATTTCAGAAGGTACTTTTATGACTGAAACTACGAAGTTTTTTACTGTTTATTTATTTATTTTTGAGACAGCGTGAGAACAGGGGAGGGGCAGAGAGAGACGGAGAGAGATGGAATCCCAATCAGCCTCTGTGCTGTCAGTGCAGAGCCAGACTCAGGGCTTGAACCCACGAACCGTGAGATCATGACCCGAGCTGAAGTCAAGAGGTAGGCACTTAACCGACTGAGCCACCCAGGCGCCCCTGAGACTATGAATTCAAAGGTCACATGATATCAGAAGCTTGAGGGCATCTCTGTCTGGAGTATTGCCAGTGAATATACTGAAAAGCAGAGTTTTTGTGTGAGATTCAGTTTTGTCTCCTCACATACAGCCTACCTGGCCCTGGACAAGATAATAGAGACATCTGGTTGCCATGGAGATAGGATAGCTTGATCTCACCACCCGTGCATGGAATTGTAGCTTCAGAGTGTCCCAGGCCCTTTGTACCTGCCTTCGTAGCTGCTTAGACAAAATGAAAGGATTCCTGTCGTGAAATTGTTGACATTATTGTTGCTGTTACTGTACACTATTTATTGAACACTTACTATGTGTCGGGTAATACTGTGAGCATTTCTCCTATATTACTTCATTCTATCCACCAACCCCCTGAGGAAGGTATTCTATCCTCATTTTACACAGTTAAGAAACTGATATTCAAAGAGATGAAGCAACTTTCCCTAGGCGACACACTTTTAAATCAAGGTCTTCCTCTAAAACTTAGCTTTGGAACATGATGCAATACTGTCTCTCAGGCATGAAAAGCAAAGCCATTGTTGCTTAATAGATTTCTGTCAGTGGATATTTTTAGGGCTGATATCCTACCTTGTTACTGTAGTAAACTAAGGAAATCTAGTGGACAGGCCTGAAGCAGAGCTTGGAGAGGGTCTGCAACTTTAAATTCTCAAGTACTTGAACTTAGAGTAAGCAGGCCCCACCCCTATCCTGCCCTTCAGCCCTCTCTGACTGCACATCATGAGAGGTGACTGTGAAGGCAAAGGGACGCAGACTTGCAAGCGCTTTTGTTTTTGTCTTTCTCTGAACTCTAGAGAGTGTGAAAAAGTTTTAAAGCACTGGTAGGGATCCATCCTGCCAGACATCAGAAATTCATGACAATTTCTGCCTCTTCCAAAGTTCAGAACAGCAGAGGCTGGAGCTAGTCACCCTATGTTATCTGAATGAGTGGCAGAGTAGGGTCGCAGGGGGTGGAGGGGTGCAGGCAGACAGGCTGCAGAGGGCTGGGATGGGGGACAGGGACACCACAATGGTAAGGGCCCGGCCAAAGAGCAGAATGGGCGAGTGGCAACTCCCCACCCTTAGAAAGTGCTTCCGGCTTTTAAAAGATGCAACACCTTCATAGCCAATTACATTTTCTCTGTGCATCTCCTATTCGTAGATGGCTACTGGGTCACAATGGGAAAGCAGCGAAAGGACTGCTTGAAAATGAGCACAGAAGGAGGGCTCTCGAAAGAGAGAATTGATGAGCTGAGACCAGAGTGATAAGGTGAAGTTTTAATATCACACACTACGAAGAGGCATCTGAAAAATGTGTGCTCATGCATGTATCATGTGTACAAGGCTCTTCATGCTATAGAAACCCAAACATCTGAAAAGTATAGAATGTCCCCCCTCGGATTTTCAAGATGGTTTTTGTTATGTATGAATTTTGTTGTATCAAATGATGTAGGAAGGAGAAGAAAAGGAAGAGCCTATTTCCTGTGTCAGAAGTGCCACACTGTGTCACCTTACACTATATAAACGTCCCCCATCCATTCCATTACACTAGGAGATTATCGATGTCATTACCAGAACGCAGCAGATGAAAAAACGGGCTAAAAGACTTGAATCATAGGAGGTCACGTAGCCCATAACTGGCAAGTCAGGATTTATATTGAGCCTGGCTGACTTTGAAGAACTGCCTTTTGGGGTGGCTGGCTGGCTCAGTTGGTAGAGCATGTGACTCTTGATCTCAGGGTCATGAGTTCAAGTCCAGTGTTGGGTGTGGAGCCTACTTTAAATAAATAAATAAGTGAGGAACTGCGTTCTCCCGCCACCACACTATTGCTGACAGAAGTTGGGCCACCAAGACTGAGAACCTTTTTGAAATAAAGAAATTTTGGTCTGGTGATATGTTGCATTAACAGAATTTGCCATATAGAATAATTTTCTTTAACACTTATTTTGTTTTGAGAGACAGAGCGTGAGCAGGGAAGGGGCAGAGAGAGAGGGAGACACAGAATCTGAAGCAGGCTCCGGGCTCTGAGCTGTCAGCACAGAGCCTGACATAGGGCTTGAACTCACAAACCATGACATTGTGACCTGAGCCAAAGTTGGATGCTTAACCAACTAAGCCACCCAGGTGCCCCTGTCAAATAGAATCATTTAATCCAATAAGCAAATAGAATAGTCAACAAAGATCTACCTCATTGCTAATTTTCCTCTGCTATCATCCAAGAGCATTGGAGGAAGACTATAACAAGCAAAGTGTGATGAGTTTTTTTTTTTTTTTTTTTTTTTTTTTTTTTTTTTTTTTTTTTTTTTTTTTTTTTTTTTTTTTTTTTTTTTTTTTTTTTTTTTTTTTTTTTTTCTTTTT